TTTGATCATGTTCTTCCCCTCCTCCACTTCCTCCCAGATCCACCCCACTTTCCTAACCACCAACTTTATGTTCTCTCTTTCAAGAAACAAAAACAAAAAGCCCCACAAAAACACGCAAAAAGAAAATCAAACAAGCAAAACACCAATAAGACAAAAAACAAAACAAAAGTTCAAACAAAGCAAAATAAAACCAAAAAGTTCACAAAAATATTGAGTTTCATTTTGTATTTGGCTAACTACTTCTGGGCATCTGGGCATGGGGTCTGCCCTGGAGTAAGGTAGATAAACCCAGTGACACTCCATCCCACAGGGCTGATTTTCCCTTTGCCAGTAGGTTTCAGTTGCAAATAGTGAGACACCCACCCTTTATTTTTTTTTAGTTCAGGTTCTCATTGTGTATTTGTGGTTGACCTGGCACTCATTATGTGGACCAGCCTGGGCTTGAACTCACAGAGGACGGAATGTCTGTTGAGTCAGAAACATCTCTATGGATGCACAGTGCTCAGTTTGCTCTTTTCATTCAGTCTGGGGTGGAACCCGTGAAACAGTCATTTACATTTGTGGAGGGGTTTCCCTTTTCAATGCATGTACTTCAGGAGAGCCTCTTAAACGTTATCAGAGGCCCTTTCCCCAGGTGACTCTATCTATCTATCTATCTATCTATCTATCTATCTATCTATGTATATCAAGAGAGGGTTTCTCTGTGTGGCCCTGGCTATCCTGGAACTGGCTCTGCAGACCAATCTAGTCTTGAACACAAGAGATTCACCTGCCTCTGCCTCCCAAGTACTGGCATTAAAGGTGTGCACCATCCATCATGCCGAGTTTCCAGTGAAGGAACCAGCAGAGCAGTATGGGGTTTGATGTCCTTGGATTGTCCCTTTTTCTGCTGCTATGAAGGGCCTGATGTGCAAAGCCTGCTTGACCAAGAGGCGACTGGAGCAACACCTGCACTGCGAAACCAGGTTGCACAGAGGCTCACTTCTCCTTCGCCTTCCCAGGGCTGAGTGTGCAATCAGTAACTTTCACCCAAGCTGCCGCCCTGGCCTGTCTGAACCCCTGAGTGTCCCAAGGCATCTGATGCCAAGAGGTATTTCAGGCCTCAAAGGCATATGTCAGTCCATCCTGGAGCTGGGACCAGAATCTGCCTCATGGACTCTAGACCCCTCCATTGCTTTGGCCCATCCTCTTGCCTAGCCATGTACATTAGCCAGGCAGTGGTGGTGCACACCTTTAATCGCAGCACTAGAGAGGCAGAGAAGGTGGATCTCAGTGAGTTCAAGGCCAGCCGGGCTTACAGAGTGAGTTCCAGTACAGTAGGACTGTTACACAAAGAAACTGTCTCAAACAACAAAAATACAAAACAAACAAGCAAAGAAAAACTACGTTAATTTATTTGAATGTGTGTGTCTATGCATGTGTTCATGCTATGATGTACATGTGAAGGTCAGAGGATAACGTTTGGGAGTTGTTTCTCTACATCTGAGTCTCAGGGACTGGACTCAGGTTATCAGGCTTGGAAGCAAGTGTCTATCTGCTGAGCCATCTTGCTTGCCTTGTGATTTTTTTTTTTTTAAAAAACATGTATGGGTGTTGTGCCTGCATGTATGTATATATCACCATGTATGTCAGTGTACCATGTGCATACAGTGCTCATGGAAAGAGGTCAGCTGGTTCCCTTGAACTGGAGTTACAGAAGGTTATGAGCTGCCATGTGAGTACTAGGAAATGAATCTGAGTCCTCTGGAAGAGCAGCCAGTGCTCTTAACTGCTGAGCCATCTCTCCAGTCCATTGTGGTTTTTTTTAAACTTTCTATGGGGCTGGAGAGATGGCTCAGTAGTTAAGGGTGCATGCTGTTCTTGCAGAGGACCCAGGTTCAGTTTCCAATACCCGAGGAGCAGATCGCAATCATGTATAACCTAGTTCCAGGGGACTTGATTCCTTCCTCTGCCTCAGGTACACGTGTGGTGCACATGTGTGTGCATTTGTGGGGGCATTTGTGTGCAAGGGTGTGTGTGTGTAGACTGTCACTCATACACATAAAATGAAAATAGACGTCTTTTAAAAATAATTTTTGTTAGATTTAGTTTATGTATGTGTGTGCGTGCCCATGTGGCCCACGTGTGCATGCCATAGTAGGTGTGGAAGTAAGAAGTTGCACGAGTTGGCTCTTTTCTTCTGCCATGTGGGCTCCAGGCATTGAACTCAGATAATCAGGCTTGGAAGCAAGTACCTTTACCTGCCAAGTTATCGTGCCAGTCTATAATAGTTTTAAAATTTATATGCAGTAAAATTGTAAGGTACAAAATTTGTTTTGATTGACACCTCTATTTAACATTTTTTTTTTGGTTTTTTCGAGACAGGGTGTCTCTATATTGCTTTGGAGCCTGTCCTGGAACTAGCTCTGTAGACCAGGCTGGCCTCGAACTCACAGAAATCCACCTGTCTCTGCCTCCCCAGTGCTGGGTCTAAAGGCGTGCTCCACCAACACCCAGCTTTAACTTTTTATTTATATTTTATTTATTTGTTTTGGTTTTTTTGAGATAGGGTTTTTCTGTGTAACAGTCATGGTTGTCCTGGAACTCACACTGTAGACCAGGCTGGCCTTGAACTCACAGAAATCCACCTGTCTCTGCCTCCAGAGTTCTGGGACTAAAGGTGTGTGCCACCAACGCCTGGCTGTGATTTAACAGGGGCTGGAGGAATGGCTCAGTGGTAAAGAGCAGGAATTGCTCTTGCAGAGGACCCAGCATCCATGTTAGGTGGCTCACAACACCTGTTAACTCCAGCTCCAGGTGTGTCCAGTGCTGCTGGCCTTCATGGGAAACTGCACTCACATGCATGAGTTCACACACACACACACACACACACACACACACACACATACACACACACACACACACAAACCTTTAGATAATTTAACAAATTTTGTAAATTACTTCAAACATCTTCGGCTGTGGATTCCCACTCCCTACTTACTAATGCATATACATATTTGTATTATGTATATAATGTGCATTTTAAACAGACAGGTGCAGAATCTTTAATTTTGGCTTTTTTTTTTTTTTTTTTGCCTCACATGTAGTGTTGTTTGACATGTTACCCGGTGGATGAACACTGCACCTGTGAATTGGTGCAACTGTATTTGGCCATAGGGTCTAATTTGCAGTAACGATTGATGCCTTACATTTTTTTGGCTTTGTTTTTGTATTCTGAGAAAAGTCTCGCTGTGTAATTCTGGCTGGCCTGGAACTGGCTACGTGAACTCACAGAGACCTGCCTGCCTCTGCCTACGGAATGCTGGAATGAAAGGTGTGTGCCACCATGTCTGGCTAAGACATTTCTTCTTGTTCTTTTTCAAGACTGGTTTTTTTCCCGTGTTGCCACGACTGTCCAGGAACTTGCTTTGTAAACCAGAGATCCACCTGCCTCTGCCCCCTGAGTGCTGGGATTAAAGATGTGTGCTACCATGTTCTGATGAGTGCTGGGAATTTTAAAATATATTTAATTTATTTCACTGAGTAGTGGTGGCACACCCCTTTAATTCCATCACTCGGGAGGCAGAGGTAGGTGGATCTCTGTGAGTTCGAGGCCAGCCTGGGCTACAGAATGAGTGCTAGGACAGCCGGGGCTACACAGAGAAATGGTGTCTGGAAAAATAACAACAAAAAACTCTAACAAAAAAGTTTATTTTCCCGTGTGTGTGTGTGTGTGTGTGTGTGTGTGTGTGTGTGTGCGCGCGCGCGCGCGACTGCACTCAAGTGAGAGTGTTTGCTTGTATGCTGTGTGGACCCACTGAACCATTCCCTGGCCCCTGTTACTCTTTTATTTCACAATGGCTCATTGCTTCATATGCATTTGACATTTGGGGATGAAGATTGTGTGTCTTCCAAACAGGAAGTATAATCAACCAAGCTAAACAGGATGTGGTTGCCCCTCTGTAATCCCAGCACTTGGGAGGTGGACACATACATGCTTGCACATGCTTGCACACACACAAAAGTGCACACATGCATGAACTCACTAATTAAAGAAGACAAGCAAAAAGCTAGTGTGATGGTTCATGCCTGCAACACCAGCATTTTAGAGGTTTGGAGGCAGGAGGACCAGGAGTTCAGGGAAGACCTCAATCCTGGGGACAGAATAGGCCCTAAATGCAACCCTCAAGACCTCAATGTTAAGAAAACAGCCATTGGAGGAGACATGGGCAAGAGGCAAGGCAAAGATGATAGGGTGGGGGCAGGTCCAGGGGACAGAGAGATAACCTAAGCCTCCATGAACAGAAACACAATTTGAGAGTAGTCACTTGATCCAGAAAAGGCAGGAGTTTAAGTGTGAGAGAAATAGGAATTCTGACTCATTCAGTCTAGATGGCCTTTTGTGGACTTGGGCTAAAGGCCACATCTGTAGGAGGATAGGAACATTTTTATCCCGAGAAAACAGCTGAGAAGGATCCAGTAGAGAGTGCCATTGCTGTGGCTTGTGGACCTAGTGATGTGTCTAGGAAGCCATGGTTCATGCCATGGATGGCTTCAGCTGGTAGTGCTTGATTGCCAGTGTCCACCCCATCTTGGCCCTGTGCTTCCAAACCCTTCAGCTGTCAAAGAGCAAGGTGTTATGGTCTTGAATGGCAGGGGAAACTTCTTCCTTGGGAGGGTGGTTCTCTGGGTGGGATGGCCACTGTCATTTATCATCAAAGGCCACATGTCCACTGAGAGTCAGCAATGCACATTAAATCCAGATCCATTCCCAAGGAGTAGACAGACTTAGGATAGCCACTGACTCTTCCTTTCTCGGGATTTGTACCCCATTGAGCAATACTAGATATGACAGTCCCCCTGGGGTCCAGGAGAAGCCAAGGCCATCTCAAGAAGATGGGGAAATTATTTCATTTGGCATGCCAGGCCTACTTCACTCACTGCCCAGAGCCTGAAGAGTCTGAAGCAAGCTCCAGCCCACACCCTGGCATGCAGCCAGGGGCAGGGTGGGGCAGGAAGGCTTCTGCTTGTGCTTTTGCATCAGGTTCAGGCTGAGCATAAAGGAGGCCCCTGTTGTCTGGAGGAGGCAGTCTCTGGGACCATGCAAACCCAGAGGGACAACCCTTCCCTGCGATGGCCGCTATTGCTGCTGCTGCTGGGCTTGGTGTTGCCTTTAGCCACCTCTAAGACCTTTAGCTCCAGGGAGGTTCTGCTCCGTGCCGTGGATGACTACAACCAGCAGTCCTTGGACACCAATCTCTACCGATTTCTGGACATGGATTCTCAGCCCCCATGGGTGAGGTTGAGGAGAGCAGCTCTAATTCAAGGCATCTCCCCCTTTTAGTGTGGTCTCTCCCTGGATCTGTGTCTCCTTCCAGATTGACAGCTTTCAGCCTTGGAATACCTGCTGTGGCAGAAGTGCCCTCAACCCCATCCTAATGATGCCTGGGACCTCCATTCCCGGGACAGGGTGGAATCTTTATTCTCAGGAATTGGCTTTCTTTGCTCTAAGTGTTTTTCATATCCAATGAGGGATTTTGCCTAGCCTTGAGGTCCCAAAGGATGTGCCTGATCCCCCTAGGAAGGTCCTGGTTTCCCTCTCCCTTCCAGAAGGGAGACGCTCTTCATTGTAGCTGGCTGAGGGCTATTCCTACTCATTGTATGTGTGGGGAGGAAAGAAGGGGCTCCTCTTCTCCTCTGTACCCCAGCACTAGACCTCCTTCCGCACCAGTGTGTAATGTTGGAAGGCCCTTCTGTTAGTGGCTGTCAGGAAGTTTGATCCTTGAAGTTGAGAATGAGCCCAAGACTATAGTCTCCCTGCTTTCTCCCATGACCAGGATGAAGACCCAGATACCCCAAAGTATGTGAACTTCAGGGTGAAGGAGACAGTGTGCGAGAAGGCAATATATCAGATACCCGAGCAATGTAACTTCAAGGAACATGGGGTAAGGCAGAGCGAGATCTGGGCGGGTTGGTGGGTGCCTCCTGAAGAACTAAAGGAGGAGTCCTAAAAGAATATTCCCATCCAGTGGGCTGGGGTTTAGGATTATGGCAAATGGGTTCTAGTTTGACCTTGAGCTTCCTCTTCTCAGATAGTGAAGAGGTGTGTGGGGACAGTCATCCTGAACCAGGACACAGAGTCTTTTGACATCGACTGTCAAGGGGTAAGTGGGACGCAGGGGGTGATGTGGGGATAGGACATGGAACATCCCTTGGATGGGCTACTGCCTCCTCCTGTCCAGGGCAGAGAAAGCTCCTCTCTATCCCCTTGGTCCCCCTTGTGCCTGAACTTCAACTCCAAGACTGGTTCTACCCTCCCTTAGAGCAGTGACTCTCAAGCTTGCCTCTTACTTGGAAGGCAGAGGCAGGAGGCTCTCTATGGGCCCTGGACCAGCCTTATCTACATAGAGTTCAAGGACGGACATGGGTACATATGAAGCATTGTCTCAAAAAAGCAAAAACAAAACCCAACCAAACAAACAAACAAAAACTAAACAAACCTTTGTTTTTTAGCCAGAATTTGTGATTGATGTAGATTCAGGCCTCTTAACAGGTCTCAGGCTGAAGACCTTACCACTTGGGTTGTAACATGCCCCACTGGTATTCTGAGCCCTGCTAATGCTGATAGCACCCTCCAGGGTACACACACTCAGACGCCAGGGAGCCTCTTTCCTTTCCCAGACCGCAGTGTTCCAATCCTTTATCAGGGTTAAGGATCCAGCTACATATTCCAATGGCTGAACTAGGGCCCAGAGGCTCTGGGAATGTCCATGAGTGTGGTCTAGATGGGGAGGACCTTGGGTACCCTGGGGCCAGCCTCACAAGGAACCCATCTCTTCCTGGTACACAGCCTGGGACACAACCCCAGCCGGTAAATAAAGTTTCCCGGATTGCTGAATTCTTCCGAAGAGGTGGGCAGAAGATTGGTGAAAAGTTTAAGAAAATTGGCCAGAAAATTGAGGACTATTTTCAGAAAAATGCACCTCAGGCAGAGAATTAGGCCTGCCTTGACCTGTCTCTGGATTCCAAAAATAATAAATGTGGTGAAGGAAACTTCTCAATGGCTTCATTTTCTTTCAGTCTTTAACTCTGCAGGGCTCTCTGAGTTCATGTGTAAGCTATGATTTTTGTACTTTGTGTGTGTGTGTGTGTGTGTGTGTGTGTGTGTGTGTGTGTGTGTGTGTGTGGTTTGAGAGAAAGAAGGTGTAGCTGTCCCATTAGGAAGTATTTGTAAGGCATCAGGGTAAGAGGCACATTCCTCCCCGCCAAAAACACACAAAACCAAAACCAAAAAAGCATATATTAGCTGGGCAGTGGTGGCACACTCCCTAATCCCAGCACTTGAGATACAGAGGCAGGCAATTCTCTCTGAGTTTGAGGCCAGCCTGGTCTGCAGAGCTGGTGGAAGCCATGCTATCAACCTTGGGAACAGCACATATGTGTGTTAAAAATGGTGCTCCTTAGACGGCAAGGTCTTTTGGAGAATCCCATCCATTTGGCAAGGACCTATGGATACAATCCTGCAGACTCCTTCGCTGATCTTAGGGAGCTCATGGGTTTCAGGCTTCTCTAACTTTTGCTATGTGTATTCTTATGCTAACTCTTAGTTTTGTCTTGTTAGTAGATGCCTGAGTTTACTGGGAACAAAAGGTCTCTACAGAAAAACTGAATTTCTCTGATCTGTTATAGAAACAGATTTTCCAGTTGTCCCTGGCTGCCTTTGTAGTCACCCTGAATAAGCAGGAGGAACTCACTAAGGTTAATGATTATTGCTCACTCAATACCAAAAAGAGAAATATATTCCAAAGAACTTAAGAACTTGGAAAACGGTTTCTTAAAAGATGACCTTAAAAACCTTATAGGAACACAGAAGGAAAAAGAGATTAGGGCACGAAAGGTCACACATCTCTCTGGCACCAGGACATGAACACTCAGTTACTTTTCCAATATCAAAGAATCAAGAAAGTAATCTGAAACTCCCAGTTCCTTTAAAAGAAAAGTACATGTAGAAATGGCCAGGAAGAATAAACTTAGTCTTAATAAAGAGTTAGGTATTAATCATTATTATTTTAAGAACTTATAATGAATCAGATTATAACCAAAATCCATACAATAAGGGTAACAGAGTACTCAAAAATTGGTATACACCTGAAAAAATGATGTTCTAGGTATCACAATATATTCAGCTGATGTCATATTGTTAAGAACTCATCACCAGGCTCAAATCTCTTACTTTGTAACCACATGTTTCCTGCCGGCCAGAGCACAGTATGAGTAAGATGTGCCTAGCTAGATGTAAACATTTGGCTTGTTATCTAGTGATATGGGGTAAAGGTCAATGACATCAATGGAGTGGGAAGAAGAGAAACTAAAATGTTAATGATTCTTGTAAAATGATGAAAGAGAAATGATTTGAGACGACTTGTGCTAACTGAATTAGAACCTTTACAAATAAAGGCAGCCTGAGCTAGTCTGGGCCATCGGTTTGAAAGACAACTGCTAGTCAGACATCCTTTCTTCAGAGCAAGAACCCCACTGGAGCTGGACTCCTGGCACAGAGCGAGTTCCAGAACAGCTAGGGCTGTTACGCAGAGAAACCCTGTCTTGAAAAACAAAAAAGCAAGCAAAAAACAGCTAAGAAAATTTTTTTTTATTATTTTGTGTGTGTGCCCGAGTGAGTGGATACATATACATGCATATACATCTGCAAATTATGTCCTGCTGATACCTGCAGAGGCCAGAAGAGGTCAGATTCCCTGAAACTGGAGTTATAGGCAGTTCCAAGTTGCCAGATGTGAGTGCTGGGAACTAAATCCAGGGTCCTCTGCAAGAATAGCAAGTGTTTTTTGTTTTGTTTTCCAAGACAGTATCTCTGTAGCTCTGGACGTCCTGAAACTCACTGGGTGGACCAGGCTGGGCTCCTGCCTCTGCTCCCAAGTACTGGGATTAAAGGTACCACCATGACCAACTCAATCAATGTGTTTTAAACTTTTTAAATTAAAATTTATCTGACCAGGCAGTGGTAGTGCATGTTTTTAATCTCAGTGCTCAGGAGGCAGAGGCAGGCAGATCTCTGAGTTTGAGACCAGCCTGGTTTACAGAGCAAGTTCCAGGATAGGCTCCAAAGCCACAGAGAAACCCTGTCTCATATATATATGTGTGTGTGTGTGTGTGTGTGTGTGTGTGTGTGTGTCTTGTCTGCCAGAATAAGGCATCAGATCCCTTGGGACTGGAGTTACAGATCGTTGTGAGCTGCCATGTGGAATCAAATTCAGATCCTCTGGAAGAGCAGTCAGGCCCCTAAGCTCTGAGCCATCTCTTCGATCTCAGCCCCTCATATTTTCTCTTTTAAAAATTGTTTTTCATTTCTTGTGCGTGTGTACATGTGTTTGTCTGCATGCCTACACATACCTGCATACTACAGCACATGTGTGAAGAACTGAGGACAACTTTGGGAGTCGGTACTGTTGGGCCAGAGAGCATGGCGGTGGTGGGGGACAGATGACAGGAATACCAGGCCTCTGGTGCCTTCATCACCAGACAGCACCCTGGCATCCGGACTGCAAGGCAGTGGCCTCAGTCAGTGCAGGGCCCAAGCTTGTGCATCAATATGCTGAGGCTCCTCTGAGGGACTGCAGCTTTGGCTGCAGAGGTCTCTAAGGGCATTGAGGGGATGAGGTCACTGTAAGACTAGAGTGGTCTCAGAGGTTACTTTAGATCTATGGCTCTAACCACGGCCTTCAGTTAGTAGACAGGCTTCCCTGGATCTAAAGCCTGACATCCTGTCTCCAGCAGGCTCATAGAATCCTGGGGTTACCAAGGTTTGGGCTCCATCTGGTCACCTTGGGGCTGTGTCCATCCCCACCCTAGGTCCTGTTGGCACACAGACACAATGGGACTGTTTCAGAAACTCTTCCCCTACTCCACACCAGGCACCCCCAGTTCCTGGAGCTGAATTTCATACAGATATTTCTTTAGAAAGAGTCAGAGAAAACAATATCCCAGCAGACTCAGAAAGAGAAAGTTAAGACTAACTCATTCCAACAGAAAAATATAACCCCAAAATATGACATAACCATCATCTATGACATATTACCAACCAAACAATGCCCATGAGGGAATGCAAGGTTACAGATAGCTGAGCTCTTTTTAAAATTTTTTTGTGTGTATTGATGTTCTGCCTGCATGTCTGTCTGTGTGAGAGCTCCAGATCCTCTGGAACTGGAGTTACAGACAGTTGTGGGCTGCCAAGCAAAAACCGAGTTCTTGACTGAGGGCCTTACCCTTGGAGTCTCTGTCAGAAGCTCTCAAGATCTGCCTTCTTAGCTGGGCAGTGGTGGTGGATGCCTTTAATCTCAGCACCCAGAGGCAGAGACAGGCAGATCTCTGTGAGTTTGAAGCCAGCCTGATCTCAAGAGCTAGTTCTAGGACAGCTAAGGTTGTTATACAGACAAACCCCATCTCAAAAAACCAAAAGAGAAACAAAACAAAAACCCCTGCCTTCTTGTTCAGCTCTGAACCCAACAGTTTTGATTTGTTCCCTGTGTCTGGCCGGGTCTATCTGGAACTGCTTTCATCTAATTTGTTAGTCTTGTCCCATTGGAGTTCTAACCTGGTTTCTTCATCTGTTTCGGTGTAGACTCATCCATTTGAGTATGTTTCTAACTGGCCAATCTGATTTGGTCTGACTTTTATCTTGTTTCATCTGCTTTAAAGCAATATTAAGCTTTACATTATCTACTTATTCATTGGGGTGTGTGGTGGCCTGAAAGAAAACAGCCCCCAAAGAGAGTGGCACTGTTAGGTGAGGGCTTGCTGAAGTAGGTGTGGCCTTGTTGCAGGAAGTGAGTCACAGTGATGGCAGGCTCATACATGCCTGAGCCATGCCCAGTGAGAAAGTTTACTTCCTGCTCTCGGATGGTCCAGATGTAGCCTCTCAGCTCCTTCTCCAGCACCGTGTCTGCCTGCACACTGCCTTGTCCCACCATGATTGTGGACTACACCTCGGAAAATGTGTGCCGCCCTGATATGGGATGTCTTTCTGGATGCTGTGAATATATGTTGCTTATTGATTGAAAAATAAAGTTGATTTGGCCAATGGCCAGGGAGAATATAGCTAGGCGGGAGATACAGAGAGAAAGAAGGCAGGGTCAGGGAGATGCCAGGTAGCTGCTGAAGGAATAACATGCTGGATCATCACTGGTAATCCACAGCCTCGTGGCAATATAGAGATTAATATAAATGGGCCAATTTAATTGTGAGAGCTAGTCAGTAGTATACGTAAGCCATTGGCCAAATAATTATAATTAATATTAGCCTCTGAGTGTTTTATAATCAGCTGAGGGACCTGAGAGCAGGAGAGAAACTGGTCCAGGGGGGACCAGCTGGACAGAGAAAAACACTCAGCTACATCACCTCATTAAATATATTCCTTTATAAGAGTTTCTGAGGTCATGGTGCCTCTTCACAGCAGTAGAAACACTAAGACAGGGTGCATAACTACTTCTAAATAAACTCACATTTGGAAACAGGAACTCAACTGATAAATAGGGATAGGGAGTACAATTTAAGCCACAAGTGTTATGAAGTTATATATTTGGGATATTGACCTGTATAGAGTGTACCAACTAGGAATTTGGGTTTGGAGCTGTACCTGTGTGTTGAATGGAATGGTCTAGAACAGTGGGTTTGATGGTAGATCACACCTTAGTTTTTTAGCTGTATCTCAGGCCTGGATGTGTTGGCTGGATCTTGGCTTTGAATTTCAGATAATGGCAGGTTTGTTGTCTTTTTTTTTTTTTTTTTTTTTTTTTTGTTTGTTTTTTTTAGAGACAGGGTTTCTCTGTGTAGCCTGGCTGTCCTGGAACTCACTCTGTAGACCAGGCTGGCCTCGAACTCATGGAGAGACATCCTCCTGCCTCTGCCGCCCGAGTGCTGGGACTAAAGGTGTGTGCCACCAATGCCGGCATGCCGTCAAACTTACAGAGATCCACCTGCCTTTATCTTCTGAGTGCTGGCAGTAAAGTCATATGCCACCACATCCCAGAATCTTTATCCCAGACATAGGCAGAAGCTTCATAAACTCGACTAAAGACCAAAATTGATTCACCAGATGAATACAGCTGCAGAGGCACCCAGAGGTGCAAAGCAACAGAGGCAACCAGGCAGCAAGCAGAGACAAAGGAATAATCCCCATTGTTTGTCATTGCCCCTTGCTGTAATCGGTAATGTGTTAGCAGTCGTGCTGGTATAGTGGAGGCAAAACAAGCACTGGCAGAGGCACCTTGGTTCAAAGGAAAAGTACCTCTTCCTCCAGGAAGCCTGTGCATAGGTCCACAGCATGGTTTTGAGTCCACACTCAACTTGGTGAATGGGTGCATTTATGTGCTACATAATCACCCCACTGAGAGATTCTTACACGATTCTCTCTTCAGTTAGGACAGACCAGAAACCTGCCTTCAGGGCAGATGCAACAACTCCAATGAACAAGAGAGAAAGCTTGTACACAAGTGCTGCCAGCCTGGAGGATTCAGTAGCACAGAATTTATTAAAGAGTCAGATCAGCTATTGGTTACACAGTCACTGCTAGTCGATAGGCAGGCTCCTTCTTGAGGAAGGAGGACAGTCATTTGCAAAAAGAAGAGCCACCTGGCAGTGGTGGCGAATGCCTTTAATCCCAGCACCCAGGAAGCAGAGGCAGGTGCATCTCGGTGAGTTCAAGGCCAGTTTGGTCACAAAGCCAATTCTGGGATGGCCAGAGATGTTACAGAGAGAAACCCTATCTCAGTCCACACACACACACAAAGAGGAGTCACCATCCTTCCCAAATACCCAAGACTCTCCCACAGAAGAGGCAGACTACAGCAGCTGGGCTGTGACATGCTAGGTCTTTGGGCAGGTGATGCCCACGATTCCCTGACCCGAAGACAAAAGGCTGGACACTGCCACCTGTCCTCAGGGACTGACAGGACTTTACTAGGTTGGTTTGGGGCTTCCTGTAGCAGCTGCACAGTGGATGCCTTTCTCTGGACTGTAGTGCACAGGACCATGGCGCAGCTGGGGCTCCTCCTCTTCATACCAACGCTGCTCACTGAAGTCAGGGAAGAAAGCTGCAATCTCTCTGCTGGCAGAAACCACGGAGTCTGTGAGGAGAGGAAAGGGAGAGAAGAGCTACTTAAGAGATTGAGGCAGGAGGACTGAAAGATTGGGACCAGCTTAGGAAACAAAGCAAGACCATGTCTTAAAATAAAATGAGAGAGAAGGGTTATCTCAGGGAATGCAGAGTGGAGGCAGGAAAGACAGTCTCAGCACCAGGTTCAGAAACTGCAACCACTCAGGACTGGGATATACAAAGAAAGCTCACAGGTCACATGGCTCAGACAACTATAAAGGGCCAGAAACATATGGAACAAAAGCTCCATGGAGGGACTGCTGGCTGTCAATCTCCCCACATGGCTTACTCACCTGCCCTAAGACATCCTTCCTCATTTGTGGCTGTGGATGAGAGGTTTAGACTCACCTGAGCCATGGGTAGTGTTTCGTGTGTCAGTGAGGCCCAAACTCCCACGAATTGAATCTGGGGCCATGTGGCGTGCTCGAAATACTCTGGTGGGTCCCATCAGTGTCCTCCAAAGCTGGATGGCATCTTTGTGGGCAAGGATGTAGGCTCGGATTGGCCCACTGAAAATAAGAGGAATTTGACCACCTAATCTAGGACATGTTTTGAACAGGGAAAGAATAACATGAACTATACTTCCTGAGAGTTCTTTGCCCTCTAACAGCCCTGACTGTCCTAGAACTCACTTTGTAGATCAGGCTATCCTGGAACTCACAGAGATCCTCCTGCCTCTGTGCTACCACACTTGGTCTCTATCAGGCGTATTCTACCTTGACAGTGATTACATTTTTAAAGGGTGGTAAGTGAAAGTGACAACTCTATTCATAGGGAAGAGCCACAGCACATAAAGATATTGGGACCAAAATTACAAGTACCTGGCCATGAACTCCACCAGCCGCTGATAGAAAAAACGCCCTGCAAAGAGAGAGAGTCCCTTCATCAGGATATAGTACCCAAGAGAAGTTTCTCACTTTTCACCATCTGTAATACCGTATGTTTACAGAGAGTAATAAGAACTCTGGAGATTTACGTTTCTGAGTGCAGATCTAGATTCTGCCACGTGCAATTTGTACAGTTTTGGTTAAGTCATTAACTTCCCTAGCGTGTCTTCCAAATCTATGCTCTGGGATATAATATCAGCTGCTATGATTAGGGGGAAATGACTATCTTTCTATGTGTGCGTGCGTGTGTTAGAGAATACTACCTGCCACCTCCTATTCTAAATCTGAGAACATTAAGGGAAATAATGAGCATTTGGGAAATGTTTGACAAAATAAATGTTTACTCAGTGTTAATTACTGACATTACCAAGACATAATATTAAAATTCTGATTGGGACTATACAGGAACTCTCTCTGATCATCATGAGAAGTCTGTGCAGAAACAAACATGAGAAGACCTAGGGTAGGGGGAGGTGGCTTGGCCAGTGAAGGCCTGCATTGCAAGCATGAGGACCCGAGTTTGATTTCCAGAGCACACATACAAATGCCAGGCATGGTGGCACACATTTACAAACCCAGTGCTAGGGAGGTGGATGCTTGGGGCTCAGTGACCAGCCAGCCTAGTTTACTTGTCAAGTTGTAGGCCAGTGATGAGACCCTGATGTGAGGGGTGTGTGCGTGCGTGTGCATGCACGCAAGCTTGTGACTGACACCTAAGGTTGCCTCTTGCCTCTACACACGCGTGCACACGCACACACACGTGCGTGCACACACACACACACACTGGTGTAATGCAGACTCCTGCCTGGCCTTACCTTCATGCTCTCGGTAAAACCTGCAGCAGTCTTCCTTTTTCCAGTGTAGATCTCTCATTCGTACAATGAGGAACTTGTTGCTCAGAATCTGCTGATGAACAGCCTGGAGAACAAACCATCCCAGAGATAAATTCCATCAGGACTTCAGCTGTCTAAAAGGATCACTTAAAGTGTGTCTCCTGTGAGCCGGGCAGTGGTGGCGCATGCCTTTAGGCCCAGCACTCAGGAGGCAGAGGCAGGTGGATCTCTGTGAGTTCGAGACCAGCCTGGTCTAAAGAGCTAGTGCCAGTGCCAGTAACACATTGAAACTCTGTTTCAAAAAAAAAAAAAAAAAAAAAAAAAAAAAACAAAACAAAAAAAAAAAAACAAAAACAAAGGAAAACAAAAGTGTGTGTCCTGTGGATGAGTGCTATGGTCTAGATATTAAGCACCCTTCCATCCCCAAAGCTCATGTAAAGGCAGCTGCAGGCATCTGTGTACCATCTGAGTGCAGTGTGCCTTTAGAGGCCAGAAGGCGGCTTCAGATCTCCTGGAACTGGAGTTACCAACAGCTGTGGCTGCCATGTAAATGCCGGGAATTGAACCTGGGTCCTCTGTGAAAAGAGCCAGTGCTCTTAACCTCTGGGCCATGTTTCCAGCCCAGGAGTGTGCTCTTGAAGGACCTCAGCCTGGTCACTCTTCACAATCCAGCCCATGCTGTGAGCACTTCTCATTAGTGTCCATCCTTAGCATAGGCTCCAAGAGACAGGACCAGGCGCCATGGACGAAAACCTGTGAACCTCTCGGGGAAAATCAATCTTCTCTTTTTAAGTATGGCCCAGTGGCAGAAAGCCATAAAGGGGGCCAGAAGGTGACGTGAAGGGAGCTCAAGGCCTCAGTTGTACTGCCAGAGTATGAACCTAAAGGACATTGGGACAAGAGTTAATGCACCTAGGCCCCACCACCCAGAACACCATAATCTTTAATCCCCAGTGCTGGGATTAAAGGTATGTGCCATTACCACCGGCTTGTCTGCATTGTTTTTATTATAAACATTCCCTAAATATTAGAATTCACTGATATTTGTCATCCTGCCCTCATCTTGTCTACTTCTACACTCTGCTTCTTGTCAATCTTGTTTACCATGGTGAATGGTAATAATGATTTCTGGGTACTGATCATCAGCTCAGGGTTTCCACCCCTGTCCTTGGCCTGTGGGACAAAATACGATTAAGCTCACATTACATAACAAAACAGATTTTTATTTTTTATTGGGGTTGCAACAAAACAGATTTTGCAGATACAATTTAGGTTACTAATCAGTTGATTTTGCTTTAGCTAGAAGAAAGAAGGTTCACCTGGTGGGACTAAACAGTCACATAAGGGGCCAGTAAAAGGATTCAATGGGTAAAGACACTTGCTGTTAAGCCTGAGGACCCAAGTTCAATCCTCAGGATCCACATGGTAGAAGGCAAGAACCAACTTCTGTTAAGTTGTCCTCTGAACTACACACACATGCTGTCTCTCTCATATACACATATAACAATCAAACATAATAAAAGTTTACACCAGCCTTTTTAAAGTTTTCTCTGGTCTGGGGCTGAAAACTAGAGAGGTTTGAAAAACACAAAGGATTAGCTACATCACTGCTTGTATGAGGAATGTGGATTATCTCTAGACACTGAGGTTCGTTCCGGCCTGAAAGCTAGCAGGCACACAGAACCATATTCTACCAACAGTGTTAACAATCCTGGAGCTGGGAAATCCCTAGATGTTCTATGAAAGGATCTAGGCAGTCAGTCCATACCTTGTCTTTGGCCTCAAGAGTTGCTAAGTAGCAGATAACTCAGGAAAACTTACTGACCTCTAAACTATGGAATTGGAAGACAAGGAACATGTTCAAACAAAACAAAACAAAAAGTATTTTTATTATCCTATGAGTGTTGCATGTATTTCTGTGTATCGTGTATGTGCCTAAGCCAGAAGAGGGTGTTGGATTCCCTGGACCTGGAGTTACAGATGGTTATGAGCCAGTATGTAGGTATTGCAACCAAACCCAGGTTCTCTAGAAGAGCAGTGCTCTTTAATGCTAAGCCATCTCTCTGGCTTGAAATGAGTTGTTTTAAGCATTTAATTTAGAATGTATGTAATAACTGATAACTTATATATGTATATATACACACATACATATATGTATATACATTATACATATATTAGTTAAAACTAATATAATTAGTTTAAAAATATAATATATATTAGATAAGCTAATATAATACACAAAGACTAGAGTTTTGTCTTTTTAATTGGGACTGGGGATGGTGGAATATATCTTTCATCCTAGCACTCTGGAGGCAGAGGCAGGTGGATCTCTAAGTTCTAGGCCAGTCTAGACTACATAGTGAATCTCAGGCCAGCTACAGCTACTCAATAAAAACTTGTTACAAGACAAATTGATTCAGGAAGATGGTTTAGTGGGTAAGAACATTTGCTGTGTAGGCATGAGGACTTGAATTAAAATCCCCAGCACTCATGTAAAATAAATAAAAATATAAAAACAATGCTTGTATTTTAGATATGTCTTAACTGTAAGAGAATAGTCATCTTAGAGTCAGAGTCCATGGCTCTTAGCTCTTTTTTTTTTTTTTTTTTTTTTTTTTTTTTTTTTGGTTTTTTGAGACAGGATTTCTCTGTATTGCTTTGGAGCCTGTCCTGGAACTAGCTCTGTAGACCAGGCTGTCCTGGAACTCATAGAAATCTTCCTGTTTCTGCCTTGTCACCATGTCCAGCTATATTTGCTTATTTATGTGTATGTGGGTCAGTGGAACCTGAGACAGGGCAGTGGAGGGTTAGGGTTCATTCTTACCTCCAGAATCAGTGGGTGGGCAACTGCATCAGGCTTGATCAGGGCTAGTGTGAGCTGGAGAGCCTGAGGACTTCGAAAGATGGAGGTCATCTCACCCCTGCCACCAGAGAGCTGGATTAAGCACCACATAGTGTTGAGCTCTCAGCCCCTTCTACCCTGGAAGCCAAGTAGCCTTGCAAGTCAACCAGGGTCTTCACTCAAAACTCACAGAGCAGCTGGGTGGTGGTGGCATACAGCTTTAGTCCCAGCACTCGGGAGGCAGAGGCAGGTGGATCTCTGTGAGTTTGAGACCAGCCAGGTCTACAAGAGCTAGTTCTAGGGCAGCCTCCAAAGCCACAGAGAAACCCTGTCTCAAAAGAAACCCCAAAAGATTCACAGAGCATCTGGTTGCTATACTGTAAGGCTGTGTATGACACCTATTTATTTGGTCTTTTTCTTTCATGAAATTGTAGAGGGGACACTCAGGTTACCCTGTGAGACGGTCTGGTTTATGCTGCAAGTACAAGGGCATGAGGGAGTTCTCCAATGAAGAGAAATGTGAATTGATACTACCACCTGATTTTCCCAATACTTTCATGTCTTCTTGGTTAACATCAAAGGTCACTTTCAACTGTGAAATTCTACCTACATGTGAGAAATTACTTTTGCAGGAGGAAAGATGTCAGCTGGGTGCACTTAGAGGCTGACTATACATACAGCCTGGACTATAGAGCCAGGCCCTAACCAAGTCCTCAAAATATCATCTCTGTTAACAAATACAGAGGTGTCCAGGGACATGAACAGGGTCGAATCAGTCAACATTCTCATTACTTTTAGCCTGGATATAGCTTAGTCAATCATGGTAGTAGTGCCAGGGGATGGCCGAATCAAAGAAACTATGCTAAGGTCTGAGGTCTTTTCTATTCATGGACAACTGTACAGGGGGATGTCCCTGAGACCTCCAGTTCCTAACTCCCCACCTCCACATTATCATCAAGTTCTAAAACCCTTACCTATATGATACATCTCAAAGTCCATACAAATTTCTCCCTCGTAGCTGTCGTTACCCCTTTGTTCGAGCCTTCTGTGACACCCTCCTTAATGGTGTCTAGGTTTTCAAACCTGCCACTCTAAGTCTGTCCCACAGCAGCCACAGCAACTAAACCTAAACAATCCCCTCCTTAGCTCTCTCCAGGGTATTCTGGCATAGTCTCCCAGTCTTTAACTTGTTCTGGTCCCTGGGTCTTCTGATTGAGAAGACTTTACCTTCTGTCTCCATCTGGAGCCCCACAACCCTTAACTCCTTTGCTCAGGTTCAGTAGGCTTTCTCAGTCCCGTGCCTTTCCGGCCAGACAAGCTTTGTGTGAGGCAGTGTCCACATCCCGCGTGCGCTTCCTTCCTCCTGTTGGCGTCTACTTGCCCATTTGACTCAGCTCACTTCTTCAGTCAGACTTTCTCAGGGCTCAAATGCTTCCTTCAGCTACATCTTCTCCAACAACGCCCAGCCTCAGCCTGCTCCACTCACCATCCTCACCTTAGTTCAGGGCGCCTAGTACGTACCTGGCTTTCCACAGTATTTAGTTGGGTGAATCAGTACAGGGACCTGATCCAGCATTCCAAGGCCAGGCCGTTAAGAGGTTCCCAAGGGAGGACAGGCAACCTGTAGAGCGGGGTGTGGTTCCTTTACAAATGCCAATTGGTTAGGGCTGTCTTGGCGATTGGTTTACAAGAAAATACTGTCATGTAAAGAAAGGCAGGGGGAGCTCAGTGAGTTCGAGGCCAGCCTGGTTTATACAGCAAGTTCCAGGAATCAAAAAACCAAAGGAAAGGGGAGAGAAAAGGAAGAGGAGAGAGAAAGGGAGAGAGAGAGAGAGAGAGAAGAAACTGGCTTGACTTAAAGGTCACCCTATCAGCCAGTTACTAGTTTTACACGTTGCCGCGCCAGCTGAGGCCATTTCTTTTACTCCCACGCTGGTCACCAACTTGCTGGCCCCTCAATGCTACTTCTGCCCCACTTCTGTGGCCACGCCCCCCGTCTTGACTCCCGACCCGCCTTCTGCCCCCATATTCTAGGCCTCCAGCCGTACGATCTGGGCGTCTTTACTCCGGGCCAAAGCCCAGCCGAAGCTCAGCTATCCCGGCTCCATGGCGGGTCTGGGTTCTGCATTCACCTGGTCCTCCCGACAACGCTGTAGGCCAGCAGGCACTGAGCTAGTTAGCCTGCGGGGTCCTTCAGGCACATTGCTGGGCAGCCCTCCTCAGCGGCAGTAAAGTCGTGTGTGCGAGTGTGCATGCGTGCGTGCGTGTGTGTGTGTGTGTGTGTGTGTGTGTGTGTGTGTGCGCGCGCGCGCGCACTGTGTAGCAGCGGTAAAGTTGAGTGACGCGCGCGTTCGTGTGACTGAAATTGAGAAGGAACAATAATCCGTTCAAGTTTCAAGTTTGCTCCTTTAACTTCACAACTTGGATGCTCAGACATCCCACTCCCGGAATGCTGGAAGGAGGGACTTCAGTGCTGACAGCTTGTTTACACAAGGTGTCTTCCTGAGAAAAGTCCCCTTCTTTCTTTCTTTCTTTCTTTCTTTCTTTCTTTCTTTCTTTCTTTCTTTCGTTCTTCCTTCCTTCCTCCCCCCCCTCTTTCTTATTTATATTTATTTCTTAGTTTTTTGAGACATGGTTTCTCTGTGTAACAGGCTGTCCTGGAACTCTCTCTGCAGACTAGGCTGGCCTCAAACTCCGTTTAGTTATTTGTTTGTATAGCCCTGGCAGTCCTGGAACTCGATCTGTAGACCAAACTGTTCTTGAACTCACAGATCCACAGATCCACTGCCACTGCTTCCCAGGTGCTGGGATTAAAGGCGTGTGCACCACCGTTTGGCCTTATTTATAAAAAAAAAAACCTTAATTTTTTTTTTTTTTACTGTTACCCCACATGCATGCCTGGTCCTATGGAGCCTGGAGAGGGTGCTGGATCCATTGGAACTGGATTTAAAGATGGTTGTGAGTTTACACTTTTACACTTGGGAATATAACCCCGTTTCTTGGGAGAGCAGCCAGTACTTTTAACTGCTGAGCCATCTCTTCAGCATGAAAATCCATTTATTTATTTTATGTGTATGGTATTTTGCCTGTATGTATGTTTGTGCAGCATGTGTGAGCCTATTACCAGTAGAGGCTGGAAGAGGTGATCAACCAACTTGGACTGGAGTTACAGATGTTTGTGAGCCACCACGTGGGTGCAGTGTACAGAACCTAACTCTGCAAGATCTGTGAGTGCTCTTAAACATTGAACCATCTCTCCAGTCTGATAGTCCGTCCGTCTGTCTGTCTGGTGAAGACATGAGTCCATTTCTGCTTTCACAAGATGAGATTAACCTTACCATTAGCCACTAGTCAGTCTTACTCCCCGGATAGACCAAGCCCAATTCTCCTTCTATTGTTCATCTTTGTTAACATACATCTGGAGTGTGAGACTTCAGTAACTTTAAAACAATTGTCCTAACTCAACTTTTCTTCAGCCTGTGTGGTTTCTACATGCACATAAAACAGTCATAGTGGAAGATGGTTGTTTTGACCATTCTTGACAAATGGTCAAACTGCATGATAGAAGTACGGGCAAATATAGTTTAGGAGGATGAAGTGGTTTATTCAGAACTGGTGTTAAGACCCAACGAAGAAGCTGGGTGTTGGTGGTGGCACACATCTTTGATCCCAGCACTCAGGAGGCAGATGCAGGCAGATCTCTATGAGTTCAAGGTCAGCCTGGTTCACGTAGTGAATTCCAGGACAACTAGGGTTCTGTAGGGAGCCCTTGAAAAATAAAAATAAGGGCTGGAGAAATGGCTCAGCGATTAAGAGCACTGACTGCTCTTTCAGGGGACCTAGGTTCAATTCCAAGCACTCACCTGGCAGCTCACAACTGTCAGTAACTCCAGTTCCAGGTGATCTGGCATCTTCTCACAGACATACATGCAGGCAGAACACCAGTGTACATAAAATAAAAATAAATAAAAAACAAAAAACCCAACAAAACAAAGAAGAACCAACAAAAAAGAAATGGCAGATGGGTAGAGGTCAAATTGTTAGGTCTCTTGATAATCTAAGGAGCTGTTAGAGGCTGTAGCTTAATGTGGGAACCAAATATGCCTGCCTTCTAATTCTGTTACTTCCGTACCAAGACTTAGGAGCTTCACTTGAAACCACAGCAATAATAATAAGCATATATGTTGGTACCAAAAATGGAAGATATATCAGAACATTGTTTTACACCCACATATCTAGAAAACACTTCAATGTCCAGATTCTACTGGCTCCCAGGCAAAATTTTTCCTAGTTTTCAGGTTTTCTTTAAGCTTATTTATTTTATGTACATCGATATTTTGCCTGCATGTATGTCTGTGAGGGTGTCAGATCTTGGAGTTACAGACAGTTGTGAGCTCCCATGTGGGTGCTGGGAATTGAACCCTGGTCCTCTAGAAGAGAGGTCAGTGCTCTTAACCACTGAGCCATCTCTCCAGCAGTTTTCAGTTCTTAATGTAGCCAAGACCCAACTATGAAACGGTGAAAGTACTGTGAACATTTTGATTCAATTTTATTGGGAAGTTCCATGGTAGTTTTTCAGTCTTAATTTTGTGAGTCTAAACTCAGTTGGGAAAAATCACCTATTAAGAGGGTAATAATGGGCCGGCAAGATGGCTCAGTAGATAAAAGCATTTGCCACCAAGCTTGATGATGGGAGTACAATCCCCAGGATCCATATGGTATAAGGAGAGAATCACCCCTCACCCCCAGGTTGTCTTCTGACCTCCACATGTGTGCTGTGGTATGCATGTGCACACAAAAACAAATAAAATAATAATAATAATAATAATAATAATAACAACAACAAAACCTAGGGGCTGGAGAGATGGCTTGCTGGTTAAGAGCATTTGCTGCTCTTGCAGAGGACCTGGGCTCAGTTCCCACTGCCCACATGGCAGCTCACAACTGTCTGTAACTTTAATAAAGCAAACTGTCTGCTCATATGTACACACGTAGGGCTAAACACTTGAGACTGGATGAGCTATCAGGGAGCTTGTGCCTGGAGGAAACTGATTCTCAGCTGGCATTGATTTAGGAAACCATATTTTTGAAATTTCATGGCTACAGTTTCCCTGCCATGGCTAGAAGACACCATCTTGCAGCAGGCATCCTGGTCCACTGGCTCTTACAATGTTTGCACTCCTTTGGCCAGATTTAAGTTCCAGACTTGTATTTCCTCTTACGAAGCAGGCCTTAAATCCAGTCAGAAAGCAGATGGTAACTTGCATCTGCTTGTGCCACCATCTGCACTCATGGGTCATATCTTGCCCTGCTGCTCTTTATTACAGCTCACAGGATTCACAGCCGAGTCAGACAGCTGATGACTTCTTCCTGCCTTAGCAACCTGCAAGGGCTTTTTGTTGTTTATTAAATGGGAATATACTTCTCAAGCATTTCTGTTGTTGGATTTGCAATTTGCCTTGAATTTGCAATTCTTCTGTCCCCTTTTTTATGGTATAGTTGTTAAGAGACATGCTGATAGTTACATGGTTAACAGGACACACCCCCAACTTAATATGACCAAAGGCCTCAGCTTGTCATTAGTTCTGCTACTGAGATATTTATTTCTTCATTTTGCATTTCATTGGGTTTTTATCATAATTTGTATGAAAAGTATGGAGGGATGAGAACACAAAATATTTGTTTTTTGTTTTTCTGAGACAGGGCTTCTTTGTGTAGCCTTGGCTGTCCTAGAACTCATTCTGTAGACCATGCTGGCTTAGAACTCACAGAGATCCGCCTGCCTTTGCCTCCCAAGTGTGGGGATCAAATGTGTGCACCACCACTGCCTGGCAAGAAAAAGTTCTTATTAACTGAGAAAATGTTTACCAACTAAGCTTATGCTGAGAATCATTTATTGAAGAAATAGATCAATGATTTTGATCCAAGTATCTTTTACTATAGGATGCATTTCTCAAGGAGGTATATATATATTTTTTCTCCAAATAATTGGAGATTTAACCTCAGGTTTCATACATGCTAGGCAAGTACTGTAAAGTACTGGGTATCTTTGAAGCTCAGCCTTCATGCTTTACTTGTCTATCTGAGGATCCAGTAAATTTTATGCTTCATAGTCTTCCAAGGAGTAAATCTGTAAGAGAAATATTTGCTTAGAGAAATTGAGGTGAGTGAAATTAAGAGAAAAGCTTCACTGTTAACCATACCGACCCACAGTATGTCACTGTCATTTATTAAATGGGAATATACTTCTCAAGCATTTTTGTTGTTAAATTTGCAATTCTTCTGTCCCAGTCTCCCATGTAGCTGGGATTGCAAATCTGCTCCATCCTACCCAACTTAAGTTTTTAGCCTGAGCCCTGAACTGAGGCTGACTAAAGACATTCTGATTTCATCGAAGGATGAAAAGATGCAGGGTAGATGTGGGCACAGAAGAGAACAAAGGGTATGGGTGCCTGTGTGATTCTGGGGACTTGGAGCCTCTTAAATTCCACTCGAGGGCAGATGGGGGATAGAGGCATTAGATTAGAGGCATGTGACACACACGGGCTGGATGAAGAGCAGAATGGGACCTATATCCCCACATTCTCAACGCAGCCCTATGGGTTCTCAGCTTAGAGGGTTTGAAGCAAATCATGTCCTCTCCAGACCTCTGCTTATTTTCCTATGAGATGTAGCTAAGGGCTGTGCCCTCCTGTGAGGGAGCTGGGGGAGGAGATGACCAGAATTAAAGGGTGTGACTCTAGGCAAGAAGGAGAGCTGGGGGTTAGGTGTAAGGACAAGTCTTCTTCCTGTTGTATGATAGAGATAAGGAACTTTGCAAGTCTCTGGGGAGGAACTGTCATTCATTCATTCATTCATTTTCTTTTGCTCCACACCATGATAAACATTACCATAAACATCTATGTCACTTTGCAAAGCTATGAGAACATTTTTGTCATTTTCTAGGTTTAGAAATGCTGGTCCATAAGATACATATGTACATAATTTGTTACATTGTCTAAATTTGTGAGACTGTTCTCCAGTGACTTTAAGTCCTCATTGTTCCCAGAGATTGAGAGAGTGTTGATTTTGTCTTCAGCAGCACTGGATACTTCTCTACCCTCTGACTTTTTCCAGTAGCCAATAAATTGGCATCTCATTATTGTTTCAATTTGAATTTGTCTAGTTATTCCAGAGCATCTGTGCAGGCTTTACATATCAATTAGCTCATGACCAAGGCCTAGTGCACATTCTCTGCCTCTGATTTTTGTTTTAGAAACAAGGTCTTACCGTGGAGGCAGAGCTGATCTCAGATTGGCAGTTCTGTTTAGCCTTCCAAATGCTAGCATTTCAGATTTGGCTTTTCTCTTTCTTCTGTAAACCAGTCTTTGCCTATTTTTTGTCATTTTTTTCCCCTGGATATTAAGAACATATACAAGCCAGGTGTTGTAGTCCATGGTTTTAATTCCTGCATCCTGAAGGCAGAGGCAGGCAGCTAGATTTGTGTGAGTTCAAATTCAGCCAGGCCTACATAGAAAGTTCTAGGATAGCCAGGGCTACATAGTGAAACCCTGTCTCAAAACCAAAACAACCAAAAATCCCAAAAAAAAAGGAAAAAAATGAATAAATATGTAAAGATGCATATTCTTGTTTTCTGCCTGAGGTATGGGATGTTGAGATGATAAAATATCCCTTCAGGTTCTGCCCACTGTCTGCTAACTCATCCAGTGTTCTTCATTTATCACAGATCTGGTATCAGCTGGAATGATCATGGAAATAAAATATTGTCTAACACAGTTTTACAGAAAACTATCATTGTCTTAATATATAATTCAGGAGAATGGATTGTTTCTCTATTAAGTCATATAATTTTTGTTTTTTGTCGTTGTCTTCTAGTTTTGGAGACAGTGTCTCACTGTGTAGCTCTGGCTGTCCTGGAACTCACTTTGTAGACCAGGCTGTCCTGCCTCTGCCTTCCAAGTGCTAGAATTAAAGGCCTGCACCACTATCACCAGACTTTGTTTTGAGACTGGGTCTCTTTATGTAGCCCTGGCTGGTCTGGAACCAGTTGTGTAGACCAGGCTGGCCTCAAACTCACAGAACTCCTCTCCTGTGTTGGGATGAAAGGTGTGTGTCATGATACCCAGCTTTTTGTTGCTGTTGTTTTGATGCACCTGAGTGTTTTGTTTGTATGCCTGTCTGTGCACCATGAGGTGCCTCATGTGCGTATGAGGTCAGAAAAGGGCACTGGGTGTCCTGGAGCTGAGTTACACATGGTTGTGAGCCACCATGTAGGGCCTGGAAATTAAATAGGGCTTCTGGAGGGGCAAGCAGTCTTCTTAAGCACTGAACCACCTCCCTGGCCCTTTTTCTTTTCTTTTTCGGTTAATCTTTATTTGTTTATTTGGTTTTTGAGACAAAGTTTCATATAGCCTAGGTTGGCATCAAACTTATATAGCTAAGGATGACCTTGAATTTCTGATCCTTCTGCCTCCATCTCCCTGGGATTACAGGTATACACCACTTTGTCTGTCTCAACTATATCTTTAATAGCCTCTGGTCAAGCTTTAGTTTTGTTCTTACGGGTGAACCATAAGCCCAGCAGTTGAAGGCTTGAATTTGACACAAGGGCTATTCCTCCCTCATGCTGAGCAAGAAGGAATTCTGGTAGCACGCAGCTTTCAGACTTTAATAAGTAGTACTTCACCTTGCAGATTGCACTGGCTGGATACCCAGAAGTCCCTGCTGCATCTTGAAGTATATATGAACAGTAACCCTGCAACTTGTTTGACCTGTCTCTAACCTCAAGGGTAAGACCCCAGCATCTTCTGTTTGGTCATATCAAGCATGTTGGTCCAGATTTCTTTTAGTTTATCACTGATTTTTAGGTTTGGTTACATATACTTATTTTCTGTTTCTCTATGTATTAGGCTATCTCTATAAGCAGTATGTTGAATTTTCTTTTTCTTTAGTCTAAGAATGCCTGTCTCTCCTCTCCTCCTCTCCCCTACTTTCTCCTCCTCTTTCCTCCCATTCTCTGGCTTCACCCACAGAATCTCTCTGAGTTGCCAGGCTGGCTCTGACATTGCAACCGATTGGCTAGTTCTTATATTTTAGATGATCGGGGAAGTTGGAAGATGCCAAGGAATTAATTAGATGTCTGTAATGGCAATGGAGGTGTGTAAAGAGATGTCTAAACTTATCAATGCACTCTGAAGAATGTTGAGGTGGAGGATATCTCCAAGTCTGTGTAATATACTTCATCAAACACACAAAGAGAAATAAATAGAGGAAAGACATGCCAAACCTCCCAATTTTTTCAATCTGTATGATAGCTGTATGGCATTCATTTTACCACTATCTCTCCCTTTATACATTTTAACAATATTCTTAATAAACTGTTAAAAATCCTCAATAACAGTGGCTAGTGAAATGTCTCAGAGATTAAGAGAAAATCCGCACAAATGTGAGGACTTGAGTTTGAATTCCCAGGACTGAGTAAAAGCCTGGGCATGGCTGTGAGTTCCTCCCTGTAAGCTGCATTGGGGAACTGAGGCAAATGGACCCTGAGAGGGAGATACCCTGCCTCAAGGCAACAGGTCAGAGAGCAATAAAAAAGTCACACAAAAAAGATACCTGGCAGCCTTCTCTGTGTGTATACCCAAATGCTCATGCATAAACTACATGTACATATACAACTCCCACTCATAAATCCTTGAAAATGAGCTGTTAAGTGTATGTGATTTACTTTTAAAAGTGAAAAAACAAAAGTGACTTTACTTACACATTCTCCATCATGCATTTTAATTATGGTTCTGTCTTCATATCTGGAAAAAAGTATATTATGATTATATAATATTTATATATTTATATTATATGATTATATAATGATTCTGTTGTATGCCATAAACCATGACCAAGTCTTTTTTGGTAGTGTTAGGCAAATTCAAGAAAGAAATATTTTGTTAATGACAGTGAATTAATATATATAATATATATAATGTATTTATTTTTTTTAATGTGTGTTTTGCCTGCATGTATATCTGTGTATCTATGGAGGACAGAAGAGGTTGAGTTTGGGCATAGCCTACATTCTAACTCCAGGGGATCCATTGACATCTTCTAGCTTCTATAGGACCTGTATTTATGTGTGTCATGCTTCCGTGTGTGTGTGTGTGTGTGTGTGTGTGTGTGTGTGTGTGTGTACATACATACATAATTAAAAACATAATGATCTTAAAGAAGAAAACACTATGAATATCTATATCTATATATATATAGATAGATAGATATATGAATTAGATAACCTAGATGATAATGAAAATTTCACAGAAAAACAATGATCTAAACTGAGTGATGGAAAAATAAAACTCAGCAAACCTCCACATACAGACATTAAATCTGTGATTAAAAACCTCCCAACTGGTCTTGTTCAGGCTACCATATCACTGGGATTATGACCACACCATCTAACTAACTTGGGCAGTGGGGTGGGGATGGAGAATCTCACAATGTCCCATTCCTAGATGATGAGCTACAGCCAGTGACTTCTTGAGAGGATGAGGATCAGTTTTCTCCAGGAAGAAACCCCTCTTAGGTTCTCCTACCCCAAGTGGTCAGCCCTAAATACAAGTACACATAGGCAAGCATAAATGAAGTCTGTAGGGTGATTATGCATGTGTGTTTATTGTTAGGGTCCTGGAGGAGTCCCACAAAAGACCACCATCCATGTATTCAATAGGCAAGAGCATTTTTATTCCAGTATACTGGGGCCTGCCATCCCACACAAAGGCAAAATGGGGAAGACCCTGGAGTTCATGAGCTCATGGGCTCCTTTTAAGCACATCAGAAGGGGCGTTCCTAGGGTAGTTAGGTCACTTTAAATATGATTGGCTCAAGCAAGTGGCAATCATATTAGTGCATTCTAATTGGCCAGGGCTATAGTTTTCCATCTTTGGGCAAGCCTGGACAAGTCCCAGGCTTTGTCCTTGAGCTGCCGTAGAGGCTGGCTGGCCTAGTACACACTTTCTGTGGGAGCTGGCTCAGTGGCACAGGCTTGGTGCATCCTATCTGCCTCGTCCCTGTTATCAGAGGCACCAGTGACTCTCAGAAACTGCTTGCTCAGTCTCAGGAAGCTGAAATGGAAGACTGATCTCTGAGAAGACTGAGCAGCCTGCTATGGCATCTGCCCTGTCCTCTCATTTATATGCAACAATAATAATCGAGAGGGACACACAGGTGTTAGAGAAGGAACAGGGAAGGGTGGGTATGATGTAAACATGGTATTATTATGTATAAAATTCTCAAATTCTCAAAAACAAAAAAGGTAAGTTAAAAAAAAAAAACAAAACAAAACCCTAGCAGGGTTGGTGAAATGGGTCAGCATGTAAACCCACCTGCTGCCATGGTGACAGCTGGAGCTTCACCCAGAACTCACAAGTGGGAAGGAGAGAGTCAACTCCTTCAAGCTGACCTCTGACCTCCACATGTGCACTGTGTCGTGTACAAGTGCATCTTCCCTAAATGAATAAAATGTGAGCTAGGAGCACGCCTTTAGTCCCAGGACTTGGGAGGCAGAGGCTGGAGGATTTCTGTGAGTTCCAGGACAGGCTCCAAGGCTACACAGAGAAACCCTGTCTCAAAAAAACCAAAAGTAAATAAAATGTGATTTAAAAAAAAAAAAAATGATTCTAGACAGAAACTTGAATTCATCCACAGAAAGTCAAGAGTAGTGGTTCGCACTTGATCATAGTGTTCATAGCCCTCAGGAGGCTGAGCCTGGAGGTTATGAGTCTGACGCCAGACTGGTCTAAGCAAGTCTGAGGTCAGCTTACAATTATTATTATTATTTTTTTTATTTTTAATGAGACCCTGTCTCAACTGAAACAGACAATCTTGAATTTATGTGAAGAATCAGAGAGCCAGTAGTGGGCAGCTCTTATAAAGCTAGAAAAGACAATGAAATGTATTTTTTATTTGTTCATCTTTTTCTCCTGATTCAAAAGAAAACAGCAATAGTTAGCTGGCATACAATAGTTATCCCTGGATTATCTAATATGCAATGGCTTTGCCTGTGTTAACTTGGTGTACAATAGTTATGTGTGTGTTAAGTGGTATACAATAGTTATGCCTGGGTTAACTGATATGCAATGGTTATACCTGTGCTAGCTGGTATATAATAGTTATGCCTGTATTAAACGGGTGTACAGTAGTTATGCCTGTGTTAACTGGTATAGTGGGTAAAGATGTAGTTTGTATAGTGACCACTCAAAGAAGGAAAGTATGCGTAACTTCTTCTCTGCCCTTCCCTCTCTCCTTCCTCCCTCTCTCCCTCCTTCCCTCCCTCCCTTCTTCCCTTCTTCCCTCTCTCCCTTCTTCCCTCCCTCCCTCCCTTCCTCCCTCTCTCCCTCCCTCCCTCCCTCCCTTCTTCCCTCCCTCCCTCCCTTCTTCCCTCTCTCCCTCTCTCCCTCCCTCTCTCCTTCCCTCCCTCTCTCCCTCCTTCCCTCCCTCCCTCCCTTCCTCCCTCTCTCCCTCCCTCCCTCCCTCTCTCCCTCTCTCCCTCCCTCCCTCCCTTCTTCCCTCTCTCCCTCCCTCCCTTCTTCCCTCCCTCCCTCCCTCCCTGCCTCTCTCCCTCCCTCCCTCCCTCCCTCCCTCCCTCTCTCCCTCCCTCCCTCCCTCCCTCCCTCCCTCCCTCCCTCCCTCCCTCCCTCTCTCCCCCTTTCTTCCTTCCTTTCTTTTTCCAAGGCAAGTTTTCTCTTCTTAGCCCTAGCTGTCCTGGAACTCATTTTGTAGATCAGGCTGTCCTCGAACTCAGAGATCTGCCTGCCTCTGCCTCCTAAGTGCTGGGATTAAAGGTGAGCACAGCCATGCCCAGTTGACATCTTTATTTGTAATTGCTGTAAATACAGATTAGATTGCTACCAAGTTTATTTGTGACCCAGGGAAGCTGCTAAGAAAAAAATTTAATTAATTATTTAATTAACTTAGTTATTTGTTTATTTATTTATTTTGAGAGAGAGTTTCTCTTTGTAGTACAGGCTGTCCTATTCTGTAGACCAGGCTAGCCTCAAACTCCGAGATCTGCCTGCCTCTGCTCCCTGCGTGCTGGGATTAAAGGTGTGCACCACCACTGACCAGAGAAAATATTTTATTATACTTATTTTTTCTCTTGTTTTTGCTTTTTGAAATGGATTCACTATGCAGCTTTGGCTGGCCTAGAGCTTACTGTGTATACCAGGCTAGCCTCCAACTCACAGAGTTCTGCCTATCTCTGCCTCCCTTGTGCTGGGATCACAGATGTGCACTGTAATTATTTTTGAATTCTTGGGGGTGTTGAACATATGGCTTCACATATACCAAGGAAGAGTTTTACCACTGAGTTATATCCACAGACCAAGAAAACAATTTTATTTATGTAGTGTTTGTGTAGATATGTGAATGTGATATATGTGTGTGCTGTCTATGCATGTGTGTGCAGGGACCTGCTTCTGTGTGTGTGCATGTGGAGACCAGAAGAGAAGATAGCCTGCTCGTTATCATTTTACCTTATTCCCTTGAGATCGGGTCTCTCACTAATCTTAGAGCTTGGCTTGTGGTGACAAGCCTAGTGATCTTCCTGTCTCTGTCCCAGGCCCCCCCACCCCCCTCCCCAGCACTGGAGTTGCTGCTATGCCTGGGTTCTTCTTGTGGGTGTTGAGAATTTAAACTCTGGTGGTCATGCTGATGCTACAAATATTCTTCCCCATGGTGGCATTTCCCCAATCCCTGATTTTTTTGATATTGTCAAACTCTCTGAGTTCAAGGCCAGCCTGATCTACAGAGTGAGTTCCAAGACAGCTAAGGCTTCACAGAAAAACCCTGTGTTTGAAAATAACAAAAACAAAAATATTGGCTTAACTGGGGAATATTATACACAATGTGGATTTATCCCTCAAGACAGCAGCTTCCGTCCAGGAATTCCCTCACCTCTGTGTGAAGGTTCCTTACTGCAGACTTCTGTGCCTTGAACCAAAGAGTTGGGCATTTTGCATAAGTGTTGCCAAAAACTAAATGTCTCAGGTCCCAAAGTAAACCACTGACAGGATAAACATTAAGTAAAAAGTTGTTTTGGTGAAAAATATTCATTCCAAGACCAATAAACCATTAGTCGGGAAAACTCCTTACCAGTTTGTCCCTCCCCCCTCCACTCTCCTCCCCCTCCCCACTCTCCTCCCTCCTCACTCTCCTCCCCTTCCTGCTCCTTTCTCTCCTCCCCTTCCTTTTTTCCCCATCTCCCTTCCTCCTCTTCTTTGAAAAGTGTTTTAATAACATTGTATATTTGTGTGTGTGTGTGTGTGTGTGTGTTCACGTGTGTGCCGTGGTATACCTGTGGAGGTCAGAGGACTTTTGGAATGTAGGGCCGTTCTTCCACCATGGGTCAAACTCAAGCCATCAGGCTTGGTGTCAAGTGCCTCTACCCTCTGAGCCATCTCACTAGCCTGTTTTCTCATCAGGATGCTCTTTGGCCTGGCGAGCCAACTGGGCTATGGCCACATAGTCTGAATGCCGCACCTGCTGACCACTGAGTTCCCTCCACTTGGTCGTTGTCCGCACCAGACACTGTGCTCTGACCTCTGTGGCTTTCTCTTTCTGCATTGCTGGAATGGGATCCCATTCCACTTTGTGGGGCAAGAGGAGAAAGGGAAGGAATGGAGAAGCAAGTGGTGTCGGGTGTCTGGAGGGAAGATCTGGTGGGAATTGACTGAGGCAGGGATTATAAAATGGAGACTTACAGAATCCTGGAGCAGAGATGGCATTCACCGCCATAGGTAACTTGGTCAGTGGCACATATAGGCTCATCTGGCTTGTAGTAGGAAAGCATCCAGCACTTTCTTACATTCTTGTTGCATAAGATCTGAAGTGAGACACAGAACACTGCTTCCATCACCTCCCTCCAGGACCTTTGGTCATTGTAACTGGCAGCAGGGATGGGGTGGAGTAAGGCACAACAGTCCAAGAGTGTAGAAAACAGGCTTCAGAGCCTCCATATTTACCCTGGTTTGAAGTAAAGGTGGCATTCATATGTCCTGGATATCACCATGGAAACAATGTCCTTATCAGCATGGGACCGACCTGAATTTTGTTTTTCAAGACAGCGTTTCTTTGTGTAGCCTTGGCTGTCCTGGAATTAGCTCTGTAGACCAGGCTACCCTTGAACTCAGAGATTTGCCTGCCTCTGCCTCCCAAGTATTTGGATTAAAGATGTGCACCACCACCACCTGGCTGGGATGAACCTGAATTTGAACCATGATCTCCTCATGCATTTAGCGCTAGTTATCACAGGAGGCTTGCAGACTGGAGTACTGTGTAGGAAGAGTCCCCCAGAGGTAACCAAATAGCTGCACGTACTCTGGGACTTTCTTATGATCTCTCTTATGATCGTGGTGTTCCCAGGCAAGTCCCTCCTGCTCCCCACCTCTCAAGGACTTAGGAGGGAAGCTGGGTCTTTCTCCATTCCTGTTCTTGGGAATCTGGGAAGTAGGGCTCACCTTTGTCTCCTGGAAGAGCTCCTCAGTCAGGCGACCGCTCATAGGAAGATCGAAATCTGGAAGGCAAAAGCATACACACCAGAGAGTTATTGCCCTGTCTATGTCCTCAATGAAGGAGATGAAGGAGGCCCTGCTTGTCATTCAAGAGCATCTCATCTTAATCAGAGCCCAGGGTTCCCCTTCAGCACAAGCTGACCTCTACAGAAACGAAGAGTCAGGAAGTCCCCTTCACGGGTAAACAACTTCCAAAAACCTTAGTTTTTTTTTTTATTTTAAAAATTCTTTTTTCATTTTCCAGACATTGTTTCTCTGAGTAGATTTATAGACCAGGCTGACCTCAGACTCAGAGATCCACCTGCCTCTGCCTCCTGAGTGCTGGGATTAAATGCATGCACCACAACCCCTTGCTTTAAAATTATTTTTTATAATTGATATATATTCATTTGTACAGGATTTCATAAAATTATTACTCTGGCAGAAGACCAAGGTTCAGATGTCAGCTCCCACAGCATGGCTCACAACCATAGCTCCAGTTCCAGAGCACCTGACACCTTTTTCTGGCCTCGGAAAGCAGTGCTCAAACCGCACATATGAAAGCAGGGCACAGACAATGCCAGTTCCCAAACACGGTGGCAAACACACATGCAGGCAAAACATTCATGCACATAAAATAAATCTTAAAGGGAAGGTCTTTGACAATATCCCTCTCTATACCCTTCCTCCTTTCCTTTTCTCCCCTGATGAGTCCTTTTTGTTCTCCTAGATGGCCTGCCCTGTCTCCTCCTTTCTTTAAGGGCTCATGAAGTTTGGGCTGGCTTTGGGCTTGCTGGACAGTCCAGGATGACCTTGAATTTCCGAGCCTGCTGTCTCTGAGTGCTAGTATTACACATGTGTGTCCATTTATGCCATACTAGGGATAGAGCACAGGGATTTGTGCATGCTGAAAAAAACTCTACCAGCTGAGCCACCCTCAACCACCCCGCCACTTATATTTTCATTAGTTGTGTAAGAAATACATTTTAAGTTATAAATGATCTGTAATAATAACACTGAGATGCCTTAAAAGACACTAGCTTATGTACTCAATCCAAAGCATCTTTGTGAGGTGGAATAATCTTTTTGTACACTGTGAAGATGTGTCTTTGCCAAGGCACCTTCTGATTGGTTTAATAAAGAGCTGAATGGCCAATAGCTAGACAGGAGAGAATAGGTCAAATTTCCAGGGAAAGGGAGAGAGAGGATCTAGAGATGAATCTAGGTTCACAAGAGATGCTGTGAGATGCAGAACAAGTCAGATGCACAGAATAGGAGAGAAGTAAAAGCCATGTAGTAGAAAGTAGATTAATAGAAACAGGTTAATTTGAGTGATAAGAGCTAGTTGGGGACAAGCCTAAGCTAACGGCCAAGCTTTTATAATGAATAATAATTTTCCATGACATTATTTGTGGGCTGGTAGTTCCACAAAGGAAGGTCTGACTACATCTCTACAATCATATGTATACCATATATAAAGCTTTATATTAATTATGTAATTATTTAATATGTAAGTAATACAGAAGAATCATATATAGTTAATTATACATTAACTACAGTTGAGTCATATAACTTCAAGTCATATAATGTGTATGCTGCTATATTAATCCTTCCACTAGTGCGTAATTAATGTCTCATAGTAATCACTGAGCATATCAGACTAACGGTTCACACTGTGTTCAGAATTGCACAACCACCACCAAATCCAGTTTGGCACTATGTGGAGCCAGCTGTTATGCTCTGCTAATGGCTAGGTGGGTGCTATGATTTGTTTGTTTTGTTTTGAGACCGGGAAGTTCTTTGATGATATTCCTCCCTATACCTTCCATCGTCTCTATATAGCCATTGCTATCCTGCAGTTCACTATGTAGACCAGGCTGGTCTCAAACTCAAATCTACAGGGATCTGTTTGCCTCTGCCTCACGAGTTCTGGGATTAAAGGTGTGTGCTGTCATGATATCACTGTATCTGCCACCTTTGGTGTATCATACCATGAGTCCAGGGACATCACTGCTATGCAAACCTGTCTAGCTTAGTTTCTGGCACACAGTATATTTTTCTTGGATATGTAATAAGGTGTGCTAGGTGCTGAGAAATCCAGCATAGTATTAAAGAACTTGGGAGCAGAATGATGTCTTACAATAATTCAAGCTGTTACCAAGCAAACATTCTCTCAGACTTCTATTAAATTCTTTTATAAGCAATGTTCCATTTCAGACAAGACATCCGGCAAATGTGCCGTAGCAAATGCTGAGAAAAAGATGGCGGGACAGAGCAGAGCAAAACTGGTGTCAGTCATAAAGGATGTCATGCTGACATTTTCTTCACCCCCCCAGACTCTGTCCCACTGTGACATATTATGTGACACATTAACCTGGTACAGGTCCCAGCCTCCCATGCCATCTTGGTCTGATTGCTTCCAACCCAGACTGAATGCAGGATTAGAGGACTGTGACTCTTTATCACCTAAAAGCCTTCCTTTTCTTCCCTTATCCTCAAAAAGGTTCTCAGCCTTTGTTGAGTTGGGAAACGGCTTTGTGAACTTATCATGCTTCTGTTTCCTGGCCAAGCACAAAACTGCTTTGTCATCAGCTGGACTTGTTGTTGGCTCCACAATTCTGAGAGGAAAAAGACAGAGCTTGGGGGCAGGAGGGGAGAGGGTTAAGTACAAGGGATAGTGTAATATAAAAACCCTCTCAAGGGACAGTGGGGGGGATCAGCAGTGAAGGGGAGCCTTGTGCACTGGAGAAGGAAGGTGTGGCTTTGTGTGGCTTACATGTCCTGTCTTCTGGACTTAGTTACTAGATGTGAGCACTTGGGAGAAAATATAAGGCCGTGCAACTAGCAGAGGGTGCTTTTCAGGAAAGGTGGAGTGTTTGCTACAGAAGGCTGGCAGAAGATGCCATTGTTAGATTTTGGGGAGGGAAGGAGGGGAGGGAGAGAGAGAGAGAGGGAGGGAGAGGAATGCTGAGTTGAAAAGTTCTTCAGGAAAGGTTTTGTTTTGTTTTTCTCTCTTTTTTTTAAAGATTTGTTTGTTTGTTTACTTATTATGTATACAGTGTTCTGCCTGCCCTCCAGAAGAGGGCACCAGATCTCGTTATAGATGGTTGAACTCAGGACCTCTGGAAGAGCCACCTGTGCTCTTAACCTTTGGGCCACCTTTCCAGCCAGCCCCCACTTTTTTTGAGGCAGGGTTTCTCTGTGTAATAGTTCTGGCTATCCTATAACTCACTTTGTAGACCAGGTTGGCCTCAAACTCAAGAGATTTGCCTGCCTCTGCCTCCTGAGTGCTGGGATTAAAGGCATGCACTACCACCAACTAGTTGAAAGAGGTTTATTAACCCTCAACAATCCACAGACACGGAGGCAGAGTGAAGATCTGAGCAAGATGCTTTAGTGCTGACAGAAAAGCAAGATGTCTGTTTTTGAATGTTTGTGAGGGAAAAGAAGGTTTTGCATTGTGAGGAAGCAGGCTTAGTCAACACTTTTAATATGTGGCTTGTGCTGTGTGTGAGCAGGATAAGAAAGTGGGGTACATGAAGTCAGATAAGTGACAGGGTCACTCCTTCTTTGGGTGGGAGAGTGGGGCTCAGTGTTTGACCCGTGCAGCATGACAGTAGTCAGACTGCTTCTCGCCCCCGGGTAGAAGCTCCTGCCCTGCCTGCGGGTCTCCTGGCTTAGGGTCTGGTTACCTACAAGGCCCAAGGATTAAACATTCGTCAGAAGGACACAAGGTAGGATGCCGGTGGGCAGTGTGTTCAGTAGCAGAGGGGGTGAGGACTGAGTCCAAGTGAGGACATGTGGAAATGTACCTCGCTTCCTCCAGACAGGGTTACATTGGCTATGGAGGGAGAGGAGATAAATAATAGTTCTCAGTTTCTTACAAAGCTTTTCAAGGTATGAACGTTACAGGGAGGGGAATTCAGTGTGAGAGGCGGTAGCTATGGAAAATATGAGACTAAAGATGAATGAGGCCCTGGGGAGTCTAAATGGGAATAGAATGTGAGTGGTCCTTAGCTCTACTGCTAACTGTGAGTGCCGCTTCTGCAAAAAAAAAAAAAAAAAAAAAAAAAAAAAGGTCCATCATTAGCCAGAAGAATATCAGAATCTCCTTCTCCAGATCCTACAGAAGTTCTTTTTGGGTTTGAGATATGGACAGATACAAACAAAATGAATGCTCCCTAGGCCTGGATGTCCTCTTGATATCTTATTACTTTGGAAAAGTCAGTGGCTCTGGATTACAGAGGCCGGGATTCAACTCGTGGTTTTGATACTTAGCAACGCTGTGTGAATCCTTTCTCTGGATTTTAGCTTCATCCATAACACGAGGAATTAGTAATCAAGTAAATATAAATGGAAACTGGGGATGTAGCTCAATGATACAGCACTTGTCCAGTATGCACAAGGCTCTCTGTTCAATCTCCAGCACTGCACATGACTGACTGAATGACTCTACATGGCACTTGCACCTCTGGGTTTTAAATAGATTAGATCTATTACAGGAAATGCGGGTAGAGCAAGAACTCGTAACTCACCAACTGCAAAGGAAGTCCCCACTGAGATGGCTAGAGCAAGCAGAGTAACTGAGAAGGTGGCCTTCATGGTGACAGGAGATCTGTGGAAGGAAGCAGTCATTTGGTGACAGCAATAAGGAAGGCAGGCCTGACTGCTCTCCAGCTTGATGTGGTTTTCGCTGTGGAAGACACTCCTGCCTGAAGCAACCTCAGGGGTTAAATCTTATCAGCTCGGTCCTCTAGAGTAGAGAACAGCGGCTGTTAGCTGTCTCCCCCATTCTCTGAGGGAGAGAGGCCTTCTGCATCCTGATAAGTAGCTGCAGAATCAGTGTTTCTGCGATGTGAACCGCAACAGCATGAGTCACATATAAGTCGTTCTGTTCAGTAGCTTTTCTTTAGAGTCACAGGACCAGAACATCCTGTGTCATACTGATGAGGTCAGCCTGTGTGTCAGAAAAGCAGACCACCCTGGTCCCCACCTCACCAGTTGCTTGTCAAGAACTCTCCATGTAGCCCCTGCATAAGACCAAGCCACAGAAGCCAAAAAGCAAGGTTACTATATTTAGAGACTTTCCCATTACTATGGACTTTGATGGAGTAGGCCTTTGTTTTAGTTTTTGGCAGGTGGTGCTGTCTATGTGCTGAGTTTTAAAGCCTGAATGGGGTTCTTCCATCATGGAGTGGGTTGTGCTAAGGTCTCAGGGTCTGCTAAATCCAGGGCCCTGTTACAGTGGTTTAAATAAGATGGCCATAGGCTCATATATATGAATGCTTGGTCATCAGGGAATAGCCTTACTTGAGAAGGATTAATAGATGTGGCTTTGTTAGAGTGGGTGTGGTCTCGGTGGAAGAAGTGTGTCACTGGAGGTGGGCTTTGCTCCCTTCCTGCTGCCTGCAGAGCCCAATGTAGAACTCACAACTCCTTCTCCAGTACCATGTGTTGTGGGATATTTGTTTATATTGTGTCATGATTGGTTTAATAAAAAGTTACCAATAGCTAGGCAAGAGAGGTTAGGGAACTTCTGGGCAGAGAGAGGACCTCCGAGGGTTAGCATCTAGGTTCAAGGGAGGCGCCAGTGAGATACAGAGCAAGTCAGATGTATGTACAAAATGGAACAGACAAAAAAGCTGTGTGGCAGTATGTAGATGAATAGAAACAGGTTAATTTAAGTTATAAGAGCTAGCTGGGAACAAGTGTAAGCTAAAGGCCAAGCTTTCATAATTAATAATAAGTCCCTGTGTTATTATTTGGGGGCTGGCAGCTGACAAGAAAGTACAATACAACCATGCCTACCTGTGTGCACCCATGCTCTCTGCCATGATGAAAACAGACTACTTCTTTAACTCATAAGCAAACCTTCAGGGAGCCATGGAGTTGAGTTAGGCCAGCTGCCTTAAGAGGCAGACAGGTTTTTTAGGTTAGAACCCAGGGCTCCTGGGGCACAATGTGTCTTCTAGTACCTGAGAGGCTGTTCCCTCAGGCAGTGAAGCATTCAGGCCACTTTGTGTTTTTCTGTATGCTCCCTTAGTAGTCAAGTAAGCATAGAAACTTGACAGGAATTGGTATTAAACATTAATCTTGTGTATCCTGTATGACTTGCAAACTTCACTGTATCCTGACAACTATAACTGTATTGCTCGTGGCAGTTACCATTATATTCTGTTTCTGATGAAGGTATAAAAAGTGTGATTTCTCTCAATAAAATTGTCAAAGTCTCAGTTGTGCTGTGGCCCCTCCAACCTGGCCTGATACCATTCCTGGTGCTCTTAGCCCTATCAGTAAGCATGGGTGCTTACACACGTCCCCGTTAAATGCTTTGTCTTGTAAGAGCTGCCTTGGCGGGGCAGTGGTGGTGCATACCTCTGATCCCAGATTTTAGGAGGCAGAGGCCGGCGGATCTAAGTGAGTTCAAGGCCAGCCTGATCTACAAACTGAGTTCCAGGATAGCCAGGACTGTTACACAGAGAAACTCTCTCTCAAAAACAAAACAAAAACAATAACAAGATAATAAAGTTGCCTTGGTTGTAGTGCCTCTTCACAGCAATAGAACAGGAGCCAAGACAGTATTCTTAGGAATATTTTCACGAGATGGCATAACTATAGTTTAGTAGCCAAGTACAATAAATGGCTGTGGAACCTCCCTTTAGTCTGGTTTCATCAGTCTTTCTGACCACTCAGCTCTTTTTTCTGTACTTCAAGTCACATCCAAGCCATTACTGCAGCTTTTTGTTTATTTGTTTGCTTTGAGACAGAGTCTCAGTTTGTAGCCTAGGCTAACCTTGAACTCACTTTGTAGTTCAGGCTAATAATCCTCTGGCCACAGTATGGGATTACAGGCATGCATCCGGTCTCTACATCTTTTGTCAGCTTTTACCTGCGCCTCCCCCGCAATTTAACTGATCAGAGTCTTTACGCTCAACTCTGTGTGTGAGCACAGGTCTATATTTTACATTTTCTGTGGTTTTAGACATGCTTCCTGTAAGTGCTTCTGTAAAAACAACAAAATACCAAGCAGCTTTTCTGTTTTTCCATTCTCAACATTGCTTTTAGGAGACATGACCAGAATAGGCGTCTAGGGGACATGACCAGAATAGGCGTCTAGGGGAGCAGCCTGCTAGTTTCTATTTTGGTATCATATTGGCTAAAAAGAATGGCAGAGCGATTTTAGGGAAGAAAAATCCTTTTGTTTTTTTGAGACAGGGTTTCTCTGTAGCTTTGGAGCCTGTTCTGAAACCCTCTCAGTAGACCAGGCTGGCCTGGAACTCACAGAGATCTGCCTGTCTCTGCCTCCTGAGTTCTGGGACTAAAGGTGTGTGCCACTGCTGCCCACCTGGCTAAGGAAGAGAAATTCTAAAGAATATGGAAGTCTGTTACTAGTGTTCAGACCGTTGTCTGACTGTAACCAGAAGAAGCATATCCTGTTGCATCAAGAGGCCACCTCCTTCTATCCAAATGGATTACCATATGCTATTCAATAAATAAACTTATCTTGCTAAGAACCCGTGAACAATGCGGTTCTAATACAGCATAGTGTTTTCTCCAGAGCAGTGGCTCTGTTGGGATCAGTGTGCGTGCAGACACTGTGAAGTGGATCTGCTGTCGCTGTGGCTCATCTGCAGGAAGTGCCTTCCAGAATGATGACGAAAACTGGGTCCTCACCCCTCAGTCCCCACAAAAGGCAGAAAGGGGGCCCAAATCACATCAGCAGGGAGAATACCAGCATTGGAGTAGAAACAGCAATGTCAACTCCATGTCACGTGGGTTAGGGTATCGTGATTGCAGCAGACTTCATGGAAGCCCCTTTTGTATCGGGAAGAGGAGCCGAAACTGTTTTCAGTCCCCATGTCCTGTTAAGCGGGCTGTCACAGTCAGCCCAGAGGGAAGGAACTGTGGAGACAGCTGGTATACAGCAAAGGCTCAGCTATCTGGAGCATGAAGACAAAGGCTCAGACCCAGCTCCTCAACATGGGAAGAGATTTCAGACACATTGCTTATGGCTAGATAAAAAGTGCCTAAGTCCAACTTTTTATACATTATTAAATAAAGCTATATGTCTGATTGTATAACAACAAAAGAAAGAACATGACTTTTAAAGCCAAAATGAATAAGATACCAGAAATGACTAATAATATTTGTAAAATGAAGAGATAAGTGCCAAGAATTTTTTTTGATGAACTGTCTTAAAGTTGCCGTTACTTCTGGGGTGTGACCTGTAAGTCCACAGATGGCAAGGAAAGAAAGGGAGCAGAGTCCCAGACACTCACTGCCGCACTCTTAAACTTTGGTAATGCATTACTCTGGTGTTAATAGTTACTGACCAGTTAAATTCCCAAAATGACAGCCAGAGAGTCGGTAGCAAGAGCTCATTTGCACTATTGAGATGGTTAGGGAACATGCTATTCTTCATATACCGTATATTTTGCTGTTCCGTTCATCCTGTGCACTTTCCAGACAAATGGTGTAGCTGGGTAATTTCAGCCCAAGCCTTTCCTTGAATAAAAATGAATAATAAAACATTCTTTCATTCTAAAACAAAGTTGCCTATTGATTAGTCCACGTTACCTGCTGTGACTGCCGCAGTTGCTCTGAGAAACTGGCTGACGGGCAGAGCTTTTAGGTGACCAGGAAATAGCAAGGCTGGCAGGAGGTAGGTGTTGTCCCAGAGGATGGTGCCTGGCAGTGGAAGACAGTGAGGGCTGAAGTTCAAAAGTATAAATACAAGCCTGGGGTTAGTGAAGCATGCCTTTGGTCTCAGCACTCAAGGAAGAGGCAGGGGGATCTCTGTGAGTTCGAGGTCAGTCTGGTCTACAGAGTGAGTTCCAGGACAGCCAACGATATACAAAGAAACCCTGTATGGGGAGAAAACCAAAACAGATTTAAATATATATATATATATATATATATACACACACACACACACACACACACACACACACACACACACACACACACACACACACAGAGCATATGTGTGGATGTATGTGGAGGCCAGAAGAAGGCATTGGATCCCCTGGAGCTGGAGTTACAGGTGGTTGTGAGCTAGGAACTGTGTTCTGGGAACTGAACTTGTGTCCTCTGGAAGAGCAGGAAACTCCCCACCTGCTGAGCCATCTCTCTGGCCCTGGGTTCAGTTTTTTGAGACAAGGTTTCACTCTGTAGCCCAAGCCTCACTGTGTAGCTGAAATTCTTTCCTCCTGCTTCTTCCTCTCAGTGACTGGGATTACAGGCATGTGTTACCATATCTTGCTCAATAAACTACATTCAGGAATGCTCCGTTTAACTACACACCATATTCATCACCATCTACACATATGTAGTTAATTATTTTATCCAGAGTCAAACATATTCATATCTTGGGGGAGGAGATTTTGAGAGAGGATCTGATCTAGCCCAGCCTGGCCTGGGACTTGTATATTTGCCTTACTGAAGTATTTACTTACAACAGTCTGTAATTGCCTAATAGAACCTTTGTGTGTACAAGTGTGTGTGTGTGTGGGTAGGTGCACACATGGGCAAGTGTACAAATGGATGCCTCAGTTGTTATTCCTCAGACACTGTCCATCTTGTTTTGTTTTAAAGACTCATGCTTTTTATGTGTATGAGTATTTTGTCTGGGTGTATGTACATTCATTATGGGCAAACAGTGTCCATGGATGCCAGAAAAGAGCATTGGATTCCCTAGAGCTGAGTTATACCCCTGACATGAGCTGCCACGTGAGCCAACCCAGGTTCTCTGCAAGAGCAGCAAGTGTTCTTAATCACTGAGCTATCCCTTCACC